TCATTTCGGTGAAAAAGTTCTTCGTGATGGATTTTAAGAGTGATACTGAAAAACCACAAGTGGATATAGTTAGAGCACTCCAGCATTTAAATGTAAATAAATCATTTGTGTCTCGTACCATCGCTAGTTATCGTGATACTGGTAGCGTAGCCCGACGTCAAGGAAGTGGACAGAAAAAAACAGCAACATCAGCAGAAATGGTTCGGAAAGTAAAGAAGCGACTTGATCAAAATAGCTTGTGAGCTGAACATATCGCAATATTCTATTCGGCAAATATTGAAAAATGAGCGATTGAAATTCCAAAAAGTACAAGAACTTACACCGCAACAGAAAGAAAATAGACTCAAAAGAGTTAAAGAGTTGCTTCACTTGGCCGAAAGTGGTGAACTGCCTAATTTGGTGAGAAATTCGATGAGAAAACATTCGTTGTCCAGCAGTTTGTAAACAAACAAACTGATCGTGTTTACTTGCCAAAGAGGTCAGCTGAAAATGTGCACCTTCGGTTGGCCACCTTCGGTTGGCCGGCCATGGTGATGGTGTGGGCCGCCATAACAGCCGATGGTCGCTCTCCGCTCGTATTGATTGACCGTGGCATCAGAATAAATGCCGAATATTATGGCGAAAATATCCTGGAGGGCGTATTTAAGCCTTGGGCACGCAAACATTTTTGCCGCGACCTTGGTCATTCCAACAGGACTCAGCGCCATCGTACTCAGCACGCGTCACCCAAGAATGGTTACAAAACGAAGTTCCTCGCTTCATTTCAAGCGCACAATGGCCACCAAAATCTCCGGATACCAATCCGCACTATTGTGGCTTGAGTGTTTTATAAAACAAGGTTGGCACTAAAAAATTCCAAAGTGTCGATCCCCTCAAGGAAGCGCTTCGCTGGGAATGGGCCAAAATACCGCAGAGCAACATTTGAGCAGCGTGTGACGGTTTCATTGGCCATTTGAAGGCCATAATTCGTGCCAATTCGAAAAATCTAAACTTATTCTAAAATTGGATGCTATTTCCGACATTTTTATACCCTCTACCATACTATGGAGGGTATATTAACTTTGTCATTCCGATTATAACTCCTCGAAATACTCATGTCAGACACAACAAAGTATATATATTCTTGATCAGCGTAAAATTCTAAGTCGATTTAGCGATGTCCGTCTGTCTGTCTGTCTGTCTGCCTGTCCGTCTGTCTGTTGTAATCACGCTATCTTTCGAACGTATTGAGATACAAGGCTAAAATTTTGCACACAGGTTTATTTTTACAGTAGGCAGGTTAAGTTCGTAAATGGGCCAAGTAGGTCCACGTTTTCATATAGCCCCCATATAACGGTTACTCCCGATATTCGGTATTTTGATGATTTTAGCGACATTATTCACCGGAATAGTTTCAAATGTAGTATTTCATATTCGAAATAGTTACTACAGCCTAAGACAGAAAACTCTCTGTGCAGGTCCACGTCTTCGTATAGCCCCCATATAACGGTACCTCCCGACATTCGGTATTTGGATGATTTTAGCGACCTTATTCACCGGAATAGTTTCAAATTTAGTATTTCATGTTCGAAATAGCTACTACAGCCTAAGACAGAAAATTGTCTGTGCAGGTCCACGTCTTCGTATAGCCCCCATATAACGGTACCTCCCTATATTCGGTATTTTGGTGATTTTAGCGTCTTTATTCACCAAATTTTTTTCAAATTACGCATTTAGAGTTCGTAATGGATACTCCAGTCTGTGACAGAAAATTGTCTATACAGGTCCAGGTCTTCGTATAGGCCCCATATACCAGTAGCTCCCTATATTTTTTTGACGAGTTTAGGTACAATACTCACCGAAGTTGTTTAAAATGTCGTATGTGAAGTTCGTAATGGATGCTACAGAATATGACAAAAAATTGTCTACGCAGGTTCAGGTCTTCGCACAGCTCCGATATAACGGTACCTCCCTATATTCTATACTTTGATGACTTTAGCTACATTATTCGCGTTTATTTCAAGTTCCGAATTTTAATTTGATAATGACTCATGACAAATAATACCTGTGTGGGTCAACGTCGTATAGGCACCAATATAACGGCAATATTCCGTATTTTTAAAATTTTACCAATTTTTTTTTTTTTTTTCAGGATTTTATTTCCAAATTCGTGGAGGGTATTCAAAGTTCGGCCAGGCCGAACTTACTGCTTTTTAACTTGTTTGCTTTCATTCAATAAAAAAAATGTAAAAATGATGGCGTTTGTTGCCGTTCTTTATCTTACCCTGTAGAGACCAATCTTAGTCTGTTGTAGAAGATAAAATTTTTAATTCCAAGCTCTTATAATGCGAAATTGGTATCCAATTGCCTCTAAACTTCGCATTTTAAATGGCACAACATTACACCTCTGGTACCTCGTTCCAAAATTGTCAAAATTCTTAGTAATAACATTTATTACGAATAATTGAAATATTTCTAAGCCCTTACTTATGGGTCCAGGTTGCGATTTTGAGAAAGTACACTGTTAATTTCTAAAATGCATTATTTTCAGCACATAAATCTATTTTAACAAGTAATAAATTAGTCAAGTTCGACCTGGCCTGGCCAGTTGCAAACCAACACATGCAGGGATTCGGTTTAAAAGCTACAGATGTGATACTCCAGAAATAGAATGAACGAAATTCTCAAGATATTGCAATGCATAAATGGACTACTTAAAAAATAATTCGAAATATCAAGGTTTACTTTCTAAAATTCGTTTTCGAGCAATGTGTTCATTTCTAATTTAAAAGGTAATAATTAGGACCTCTTTCGCACAATCCTCACAAATCTACAACCAATATTTTCTAAAAAATACCTTCGATCAAAAAAAAAAAAAAAAAATACCAAATAAAGCATCAGAGTAGTTTAATCACTGCTTTTGATTCCAGATTGAAATAATTTTTTCGAAATTCTTGTTTTCCAAGCCTGATGAACATTTCATGGTAGAATAAGGAAGGTAAAATCATGCAATCATATGTTTACATTTTTTTCAAAAATTATTCAATTGGCAACATCTCATTGTCAAAATTTGTATTTATTGAAATGAATTTACCTACTTTACCATGGAACATTATATATATATATATATATATATATATATATATATATATATATATATATATATATATATATATATATATATATATATATATCATGTTTATGTATGATTCATTTCATTTCTCAAAATAATGAAATGAAAGCATGCAAAGAGATAATCTTGGGAATGACAGTATTTAAACATTTAGACTCCTGTACATATCAGAACATTTTGAACCATTTGATTACGAATTAGCATGGACGAACACACATTGCTAAATCGGGTCAGCATGTTGATATGGAAAGATCCTTGTTCTACATGTTAGGTCTAGGACCAATATTACATGGTGTTACAAAGATTTTGGCCCAATCAAGCTTCGCCCGGGTCGAACTTTAAATACCATCCACCATGAGGTAGAAACAATGGATCAATGTGATTCAGACTCTGGCGGAAGAACCTATTATGAACTACAAATACCGAATTTTAAAGAAATCCGATAGAAAATGCGACCAAAATCATAAAAATAGCGAATGTCGGAACGTACCTTTATATGGGGACTATTGTAAAACGTGGACCTATATAGACAATGTACTGCTATCGGAAGTAAAGCCGTTTACATACTCTTAATATTAAATTTTAAGTAATTCCGTTAAATCATGCGGCTAAAATCATTCAAATAACGAATGTCGGGAGATACCGTTATATGAGACATATACGAAAATCTGGACCAATAAATAATTTTCAATACCAACCATCCTAGACACAATATAATTTATTATGCAAAATTTCTTGTTCTACGTCAGATAATACAGGCTGTATCTTGAATAGGGAGGCAGACAAGCGAACATATTTTAATCGAGTTAGAATTTTTTTGCTGATCATGGGGTCTTCGACAGATATTTTGAGGTTGTAATAACGGAATGCCGATTTTATTTTGTTCGCAACCCAGAAAACTTGTTGCAGAGTGTTACACACGTAAAGAGCTACCCAGGAAATCGACTAGCCCTTTCATTATAAACTACCTACATAAGCTACCAATATCATTTAGCAGTGCTGCCGTAGAGCGGACCCTTCCTTGTACCTAGGTACCGGCAGATCCCTTAACTTTAAATGTCTGCGAATATATTTATTTTTGTAATAATTTGATTTTTTTTCTCTATAGAAGTAATGTAAATAACCCTTCCCTTTCTGAGACATTACACTTCATGTTGTTCATGAATTAGTTTTCTATGTAGATACTATGATTTTATTTAAACAAATCACTGCCAAGCTGAAAATTTTTGAAGTGAGAAAAATAAAAACAATATTAAACTGTAAAACAACTGATAAAAACCTTAAATACTCGTTCATATTTAATCCTGCTTTCAGGAAGTGGAAGTCAAAAGGGCAACAACAATGTAGATTTTTTTTATAATTACCGGAAATATGTTCATCTCCCAACGAAAAAACGACAACTAATAACATCGAGCCTTAAAAGAGTTCTCGACTCGCAAACACATTCTACCAATCGGATATACTTACTCGATAACATGGCATTGTAGTGTAACTTCCGATTTGGAACACATCCTCTGCTTGTTATCTTTGCAAGATATTGTACAGAACACTGAGCTTTCTTTCTATGTGCAAAATGTCCAACAATTCTTGAATGTTATTCCTGTTGTTGCTGTTGTTTTTCTTCTTCTTCCACTTTGTCTTTTTCGTTATATGGAAACATTTCATGTTTATGTAAAAGCATCTCCGTTTCATGCTTTACTTCATAACATTTCATATGCTACTCCTACCCAATTTTGAATTTGTTTATATTGATAGCGCAGTTTTTTTTTGCTTTTTGCTCCACCTCCTACAGCTTCTTTGGACATAGGCAGGGGTATGTCACTCTGTGTGTGTTTTCCTATTTGATAGTGTTTCATAAAAATATTTCCCATTTTTATCTTCATTGCAGATCCCATTGCATTGACGGCTGAATTTCTTGGCTTGGACAATCGTTCGACAAATCCAACAACAGCAACAACAATGACAAACAACATTTTAAATTTAGCTAACGTGGGCAACAGCACCAGCACTTCTTCGTCGTCGATTATTGGCAAAGTTTGCGGAGCCGTGGGGGCTAATGGTATTGGTCGCATGACTGCCATAACTGGCGTTGGAGGCGGAGTTAATGCCTCATCATCCACCACATCGGCCTGCAATGGCACTAGTCTCCAAACCAATATCGATGTCTTGAATTGTAATGGCAATGCAAATGCCTTGGCGGCCGCTTACATGCCACTCACACCCAGCTCCACACAATCCTCCATATCACCGGGCACAACGGCAACGGGCAACACTTTCGACATGTTCCAGGTAAGTTTTGTAGTAAACGATGACCATACGCCCATGGGCCATCGAAAATAATTGCATTCGATCTTTTTTCTTTCGCCAGCACTTCGAAATGCACTTCAGAAAAATTCCCATTCACTTTATTTGTTGTATTTCGATATTTCATTTGCATTGATTTAAATTTTCAAAAAAAAAAATATATATATATAGAAAAGCGAAGAAATTACGAACGAAATAATTATAAGCTGACTGAAAATGAAATATTTGACTATTTAAAAAATAGCTACTTCGTTTTTTTAATTTTAAAGACCATATTTGTGGCTAAATTAAATATATTCTAACTTGCGTTACGATAATTCAAAATGTTGACCCTTTATGGAAGAGATGACGAATTAGCGGACGCGGCTCAGCACTATCCATAGACATAAGAGATAAATAAGCAGGTGTATATTTTCTTCGGATGTTAATATTAATACTGATACAAAAAATACGGATGTGCTAAGTATTGGATGGAGGGAACACTACTTTAATTGTTAGATTAGTAGTTGTTAATTAAAATTTGTCGCATGCTGCAACATTTTTAGACTTTTTGGGGGAGGTACCAGAAGTAGTGCCCCCACTAAGCCCCATATTCACACAAACGGACGAATGGACATCTCAAGATTGACTCTTAGTGTTTCGAAACAGATTTCGCCCAAGAAATATTTTGGCCATATCAAATATTTACCAACTAGACACTAAAAGCTCTTTTTCAAAATTTTAACATTCCAAGCAAAACTCTTAAGTAATACCACTCTATCTCTCTCTTTACCTCTTTTTACTTGTTTTGTTGTCAGCATTCATTTATTGATCTAACTATGTCAGTCCAAGAGCATATCTGGCTCATTGGTGCTCAAAATAACTCTGAAAGGAAATATAAGAGTTGATGTAACATTTGCATACTTTTAAAATTTGTAGATGAAGTTCGAGGATGGATCAGAAACAGAAGACAGAATTTTCAGGAAATATTAATCTCACAAAAAGAATATGGAAAATCCGATTCTATTAAAATTTCGTTCATTGTCACATCTCCATATGTAAACCCTAGAAACAAAAGTGGTCTCAATATAAAATTTCAGAAGTTCAGCTCTATCCCTTCAACCAATACCAAATAGTACTCTTCGTACAGTTAAAGTACGCGTTTAAAAAAATCGTCATATATTCACCTGAGATACCAACAAAGACCTCAATCTCAAATTTCGGAATTTCGCCTCTGTTATTTCCCCCATTATCAAATTTTGTATTATTAGTACAATTATAGTACGCATATCCTAAACCAGCTGCATCCCTCAACCACCGACACCAATAGTAATCTCCATACCGAATTTTACTACCACTACCCAAACCCACCGCTAAATCTCAATCCAAGAGATCTCAATGTGAAATTTCAGGATTCCAGCCCCATCCCTTTACCAAATACCTAATTTAGTAGAACTTAGTACGTTTCGAAAAATTATAGTATACGTTTCCGAAAACATATCCATAACTTAACCACCGACACCAACAGTGACATTAATATCAAATTTCTGGATTTCAGCTTTATTCCGTCACCCAATACCAAATTTAGTAACCATTTACTACATTCGTACAATTATAATAAACACTTCTCATCCCAGATACCAACAGAGACCTCAATATCAAATTGAGCATCCAGCCCCATCCCTTCACCCAATACCAAATTGGTACAATTTAGTACTTTTCGTACAAATAAAAGACACATTTCCAAACCACCGCCAAATCTCGAACACAGATACCATCAGTAATCTAAATATCAAATTTTAGAATTATATCATCAACAAACAATAAATTTAGTACATTCAGTACTTTTCGTCGAATTACAGTATACATTTCCGAAACACCTCTCTGTTCACCATTATCAATTGAATCAAATACGGGGTAACTGCAACAATGTCAAAAACTATATTTTTTACCTCTGCGGTATTTTGGCCCATTCCAACCGAAGCGTTTGCTTGAGGTGATCGACACATAGGTATTTTTAGTGCCAATCTTGCTTTCCAAAATACTCCAGACACAATAGTCAACGGATTGGTTATCCGGAGATTTTTGTGGCCATTGTGCGCTGGAAATGAAGCGAGGAACCTCATTTTGTAAAATTCTTGGGTGGCGCTGACTGCGATGGTTCTGTCCAAGGTCTGCGGCCAAAATGTTTGCATGCCCAAGGTTTTAATACACCCTCCAGAATACCTTCGCAATAATATTCGACATTATTCTGATGCCGCGGTCGATTAATAAGAGCGAAGAGCGACCATCGCTGTTATGGCTGCCCACACCATTACCATGGCGGCGCTTGAGTTCTGGTGGCCAACCGAAGGAGCACATTTCAGCAGCCCTCTTTGGCAAGTAAACACGATCAGTTTGTTGTTTACAAACTGTGGGACAACGAATGTTTTCTCATCGAATTTCTCACCAATTCGGCAGTTCACCACTTCCGGCCAGCCGAAGCAACTCTTTTGCTCCCTTAGTATATTTTCTTTCTGTTGCGGTGTAAGTTCTTGCACTTTTTGGAATGTCAATGGCTTTACCCCGAGCTAATTTTTTAATATTTGCCGAACGGAATATTGCGATATGTTCAGCTCACATTTCTGCTGATGTTACTGTTTTCTACCGTCCACTTCCATGACGTCGGGCTACGCTTCCACTACCACACAAAAGATATATTTATATTAAAATCCAGCAGTGCTAAACGATAGCCACTTGTGGTTTTCCTGCCAAATATAAAGAAATCACACTATCACGCTTGAATTCCATCACGAATAAGTTTTTTTTCAGGAAAATTCTCAACAAAATGCTTTTGTACGCTTGTAAACAATATAATGAGCTGTCTCTGGCTTAATTTTAACAGCTGTCGTACGAGTGGCTTAGAAATAACAGCAGTCTGAAGTTGGTTGCAGTTTTTTCATCTCACACTGCTATTTTTACTTTTCGGGCACTTGAAATACAACTTTCCAAAGCCACCTCTTTATCACAAACCTACCACCCCGATACAGAGCTGTTCCAAATTTAGTACTGTTTGCACACTTAGTACACATTTCCAATCACCGCCATATAGCAAACCCTGGTAGAATCAAGAAGGTAAAGTCATGCAAACATATGTTTACAATTTTTTTTCAAAAATATTCGTTTGACAACATCTCATTGTTTAAGTAATTATTTATAAATCTATTGTAAACACACAAATCAGAGATGGAAACCTAGTTTTTATGCAGTGAAATACGACAAGATATATGCAGAAAATGCAGAGGTGGGTTTGCTTATTTGAAATTACTTTACCTTCCTTATTTTACCATGATATCAAATATTTTCCAACCTTGATTCTCACAAAAATTCCAAGCTTTTAAGCTTTTCTTCTATTCCTACATAATACGAAATGGTAGCACTTTAGAAGTTTAGTACCATTGGAAGTTTTCGTAACCTTAAAGTTCGAATTTTCAAAAATCCTTTGGTACATCTATCCTGCACTCCATCAGTAGCTCTCATTCCAAATTTTAGAATTAATTTTATCACACGCAACGAGACCGAAAACCGTTTACATAAAAATTCTGAAAGTTCTTCCATACTTAGAAGAGTTTTGGAAAATCTTTTCCCAAAGTTTGTTGGATTTTCTACATCATTGATGGTAATGACCGCTGTTTTTGCAATTGTCTT